AAAGCACAATAAATATACTCACCACGTTCTCTAATGGTGCTGCTCCAAACACTCTAAACACAGGGTTTGGTTTAGAGGGAGAGATGCACAACACAATAGCCTGCTGGCCAACCCGTGTCGTGTACTCGTCTAGAGTCGCTCTCAGCTTCCTGCAGACATAGTAAGAGACAGGGTTCTCATTGTGAACTGTTAAATAAAATTTAATTGGAATTGGCATAATTGGAAAAATGCTGAAATAAAATATAAATTTTAGACAAAAAAAAAAGTGTTTTTTAACCCTTGGAAACTAACTGAAATAAAGTTAAATGTACTATAATTAGTCAAACTGAAATAAAAATAAATAGAAAATAACTAAACCATATTAAAAAAAAGTGTAAAAATAACAAATGACTAATATTAAAAATTTAAACTAAAATAAAAATTCATTTTTAAATATAAACAAAGGCTAATTCAAAATATTACTAAATATTGTAACAGAATAAATTATACTAAAACAGCACTGTAAGAGTATACATATATACATATAGTAGTACAATATTGAATATTTATATTATTATAATATTTATAAAAGTAAGTTCAATAAGTTCAAGTACTAAAATGACAATCTAAAAATAAACAGAAATATAAAAAAAATTAATAAAATGAGAAAAGCACTTAAAATTACTAAAAAAAAAAAAAAATAAATAAAAACAAAATTGCAAATATATACATAAAAGCCAATGCAAATTTTAATTAATACTACAATAGTATAATAAAAACACTAAAATAAACAACACTGGTAACAGTACATTTTAGTTCTTTCTTTCTGTCTGTCTATCTACCGTTACATTACAATACAATGAACAACACTGAGAATATGGTTCACCTAAGCAAGCGAGTCTGTTGTCTTTTACGGATTGAAGGGTTTGACTCAAAGATGTGGGGCCGTTTCCGTTTCTTCCCTGTTGCCACAGCTGCAGCTGCTGCCATGCCAACAGGCCCTGAAAATATTTAGGGGAATAAAATCAGTTGTTTTTTTTTACGTTCTATATCATTCAGGATATGCATTGTATCTGTTTGTGTATTCCATGGGAATTTAAGCCATGAGCTTGGCAATTGCTCTATTTTGAGCTTTAAGGTGGCTGACAATTTATGGTTTAAGTGTGCCATCTAGTGGTTTGTCTGATAACGACAAGTCAGAATACAACAATGTGCTGGAACCTACCTGCAGCAGCCAGATGTGCGGTGACCTCATCGGTTCCAGTCGAGTTGAGGATATCGGAGTCATCGTAAGCGTCATCATCAGGCGAGGAGGGTGAATCCTCGTCAGCGCTCAGCATGCCATGCTCCGTGTACGTGGCAACGTGCACCTGCTGAGCGACGGCGTGGGCCTCGATAGTGGTCATGTGCTCTGTCTGATGCACCATGTGGTCTTCCATCACCCAATACAGTTTCTCTCAAACACACTGAGACACACACATACAATATATTAGCACACAATCTACAAGTAACTGCTTCATGTAGATTCATAGATGAGGTGACTGTCATGCACCAATTATTTTGAGGGGGGAGAAGTGTTCAAATACATGTATTTTCAGATGTGCTTTTATATTGAAACAGCATCACAAAACATTTAATTTATTGTGAATCCAGGTAAACTGGGCCACTGAGTGTGATCTCAATGTCAAAAGTGGCCTGAATCAGCCAAAATGCTTTCAGCAGTAGCTATTTAAACTAAGTGTAAAAGTACACGCTATTTATCTTAAGTAGTTTACATTTAGTGTGTAGAGAAAAAGGGCCAGTTCCTTTCTATTCACATCACAATAAGCATTCATAAAGTATTGCATCTATTATTGTTGCTTTATACATCTCTCCAGTAGGGGGCACTAATCGTTACAAATAATCAATACAATTTGTTCATAAGATTAATATGTATTTTACATTAATAATGATTTACCGAGGTTTGGCTGGAGTCTGTAAGTCTGACTGCTTTCAGTATTTATCCAAAAGAATATATAAATATTCAATATTAGTAACATTATCCAAAAGAATATATAAATATTCAATATTAGTAACAGCATATACATTTACTGTGCGTATTATATTTTGGCAAAGTGCAATCATATGAAAATACACCTATATTAATTTTCAGCAAGAATTTAAAGCTGTATCAACGACAAACTAAATGACACAGATTGAAAATCTTTTTGAGTTACGTTTTTTATTGAATAATATGACACTGTAATGACATGTCTCTGACAGCAAGCAGTGTGGATTACATTTACTAAACGTTTGGGATTAAAAAAAAGAAAAAAAAGAAACCAAAATAAAAACGTATGGGTGAATATCTTAGGATGACGTAGGTGCTATGAACGATCCACATAGATAAACAAACCAGCTCGCAGCTACAGTATCGTTCCGTTCAATTCAATGGCCTGACACTGAAGCGCTGGAAAACGCTACATTTGATTTGACCAAGTCACGAACTACGTTCACAAACACGAAAAGACATTTCAACATGCACAAAGAGCCATTAAAAAAGGTAGGTTTGAACCTCCGAAATAACTGAATCGATATAGACTAACGTTAACGTTAGTTAAGTCCAGCATCAATAACAAACAAATAAATGGCGGTTATTTTCAAACTGTGAATAATACGTGTAAAGAGAGCGGGCCGTTTGTAAGTGAAATATTAAACACTAACGTTAACGCAATTCAAACTGTTATTTCAAACACAACAGTAAACATTCAGATAAGCTGCAAAACATCTGAAATAATCTTTTAGATAAAAATTTGCCGGCACCGTTGTCGATTAATGTATAAAGCGATATAAACAGTTGATAACACTGCTGTGCTAATATGATATTATGGTTAAACACGCATTCAGATTTGATTCCCCGAACAAGAAAATAAACACAAGCTATCAAGCCTTGAACTCCCATTTAACATCTGGACAAAACAGTAGCGATTCGATTGCACATCTAAATTCAGTAGGCCAAAGGCCTGCGCCATGATTTTTTTTGCCTCAATTTGAGCGGGGTAAATAATAATTGCCATCCTGTCAAATGCGCTCAATATCATGCCAAGTTCTGTTTCGCATCGTCGCGATCCGCATCTGAGTGTGTGAAAGGCAAACGCTGCCGGGTTGTTTGGTGCGGCTGCGCCGGGGCTGAAATGGCTGGAGATTGCGCGGTAGGGCACTAACCTCAGAGCGGCTGCGCTACTTCGGGCCTGCGCTGTGCGGCGGAGCTGCGAACACCAGCTGCAATGGAGGACAAAGAACGAGCAGCAGAGTGCGCGCGTCCTGGGCTCAGCGGCTGATGCGCGGCCCCGAGCGACGTGCACGGAACAAACCCCGCCCCTCCCTCTCATTCTACACACTAGAGCCTGAACTACATGATGCTGCAGCACAGAGAAACACAAGTACACACTGCTCTCCAAGAATGAGGGGATTTGAATTGAAATCGAATTGAAACAGTTTGAAATATGGTGCAACAGAGAATAATAAAATAACATAGAAATAAATATATATATTTTCAAATGTATTTATTTAATTGGTATTTATACATTTATTTTAAATATAATTTATTGCTGTTATTATTATAAAATGTCTGATTCCTATATTATTGTCTGACTCCTAAATTATTATTATTATTATTAAAGTTTTTTTGTGTGAGAGAGTGTATCGTAACTGCATTGATTTCAGATGTGTTGTATTGTAAATTAAACTAATGCATAAGTTACATCGTTGTTTATTAAATATAGTGCAATATGTTTATTATTTATTGCATTTTATTATACGTTTTATGTATTATATTATTGCATTTATTTTATCAGTCTATTTTTATTGTTTATATCTTGTTATAATAAAATGTTTCTTTTATTTTGTCGGAATAATTCATAGATGCTGAATGGCAGGATGGTGCAACAGAGAATAATAAACTAATAAAGAAATACATATTTTTAAATTAATTTATTCATTTTTTCCCCCGAATAATTTAGTATTTATATATTTATTTTAAATATATGTTATTTTACTTAAATGTCTGATTTCTATAATATTGTCCAAGATATATACTTTATGTTAGCAAAAGCATTTGTGTGTATTTGTAACTGCATTGCTTTCAGATGTGTTATCTGTGCCTATATTCCTGGATTTGCATGACAGTGGATCATTCACATGAACTGTAAATTAAACTAATGTGAAATAAGTTACATAGTTGTTTATTAAATATCGTGTGATTATGTGTTACATTTTTATTAGCCGTTTATTTATTATTGCATTGCATTTATTTTAATTTGATAATTTAAATCTGTTTTATTGTTAATATTCATTTTGTTATAATAACATGTTTTCTATTGTCAGAATAATTAATAGATGCTGGATGGCAGGATGGGGCAACAGATAATAGTTAAATAATATATAAATCTGTTTAAATTAATTTATTACATTATTTATTTTAAATAATTTTGTATTTATATATTTATTTAAAAAAAAAAATATTTTGTTGTTATTTTTATAAAATGTCTGATTCCTATAATATTGTCCAAAATATATACTTTTATGTTGGTATTTGTTTCGCTTAATTATCTGTCCTTACGTATTCCTTGATTTGCATGAGAATGGATCATTCGAATGTAACTGTAAATTAAACTAGTACAAAATAAATTATGTATTTTGTTCATTAAATATGGTTCAATATATGTTTATTATTCATTGCATTTCTATTATTTTATTGATTATATTGCATTGCATTTATTTTATTTTGGTGATTTAAATCTATTTTTACCTTGTTATGATAAAATGTTTACTGTTAGGTTGTCAGAATAATTCAGAGATGCTAGATGGCATGAAGGAAAATCATCTGTACACTTTTAACCTACATAGCTTTTTATATATTCATATGCATTCCTTCCTGGTTTTGGACGAGACGTTCATATTTAATGCAAAATAAAAGTCCCTTAAAAAATGCCGACACCTGTTTCACATTAAGCCTTGATGAATATTGATCATTGATGGGACGTAAATGAAGGAACGGAAAAGACGTGATTGGATGTCCATGCTTCGTTTTATCTATAAAAATCTTGCATTTGGTGAGTTTTCGTCTTGTAAAAAAAGAAGAAGATAGGCCTTTGTTTTTGCAGATAATATATCCAAAACCATGACACAATAAATCCAGTGTGAATTGTTTATCCATTTAAGTCTGTTAGTAACTTTGATGACTAGACAAGACGATAAAAGAGTTAACCATTGTTAGGTTTAAGAACATCCATAAGAGGGCAATATGGTATCACAAATGATTCACCCACTCCGATTGATTTATGTGTAACACTAGATGGCAGAAAATGATCATTTTTGGGTTGCTGGATGAAGCCTGATGGCGCACACGACTGTGATGAGTGTGTGTGTGTGTGTGTGTGTGTGTGTGTGTGTTTGACTGAATATCAGATTATTCCAAGACACCGCTAACCTGCTTTTGTGACTTTGTACAGATTATTTATTTTGGTTTTTGTCTGCATCTAATCCGGTTAATGTAAACTACTGTATTAAAAATGCTGTGTAATTACTGGGGAAATTGTATAATAGATATAATTTCACTCCATTAGCTTGGCTTTTGTTATTGGCAGAGGACCTGCCGTCCACTTTAGTTTATTGCATAAAGCTTTAGTTTAAGGATGTTTAGGCCAGCCTTTCCCTAATCATTGTGACAGAGCGACTGCAGGCCCATGTGGTAGTACGCAAAGCAAATTCTCAGGTGATAAAGAGTCAGTCTTTAGAGGTTTCACAATCTGCGATCTATCTTCACTGTGCTTCCTTGCTGGGCAGAGCCGATAAGGTTTCGGAGGAGTTCAATAATTCTCTTAATTGATTGTCTGGAAGTGAAGATAATTCATGGTAATTGTCAGGCCAGTGAGGAGCTCATGAGTTGAAGCCACTGAGGGAGGAATAATGGATGCTTCACTTACTTACATGGCAAAGACAGACCAAGAGACCAGTAACAGATCTAAACAGTCTAATGTTAATGCAGTGAACTGTGAGAGAAAACAAACTGTGCTTTGCTTTTTTTATACATCAGACCAAGCTAATACACTCATGAATGACGACAAAGCCACCAGAGTGCACTATGGGACCATTTAAGTCACTTTTATTAAGATATTTCGATTTAAAGCTGAAGCATGTAATTTATCTGTGACTAATGAAAAAAATTAAAACTGCTTTCCTGTACATGACCTCAGTTTGTAGGGCCTGGAAGGCTAATTTTTGTTGGTTCCCTCTGGAATGTCTAACGATTTCTAATAATTTTTTAAAGCAATTTATGAAATAGGTAATCTAAGTTCCAACATAAGGACTACAAAATGGCTGCCTGATTCATCAGGCTCATAATCTCACATTCTTGTGATAGTTGGGCTTTAAAAACACAGCCCAAAATGAAATGACATTTTCAAAATTCACATTTGAGGTATGACTGAATGTCATTTATGTTGTAGAACACCATGTGAAGGTCTTTGCACAGTTCACACGTAAGCTGTGAGCAGAATTTTCGAGTGATCTTATTTTTTTATAATGATTATCATTTTTAATATATACAAAATATAATCTAAAATATTTTATTGGGTAGAAATCATTTAATTCATTAAAATAAAATTAAAATTAATAAAAAAAAAATATATAAACAATTTAAACATCCCAATCACAAACTAGTATGTATTTAATCACAGAAGTCATGTAAATTAATTGGTAAAAAATGTAATTAATAATTATTTAAAGCATGTATTTATAAATTTAAAATTTATAATTATTTTAATTAATTAAAAATTTAAAAATATTATGTTTTAAATATCGCCTCTAATTTCTGTAAATTAAAAAGTATGTCAGCTTTCCATTATAGCAGAAGTATCTTGGGGGGCCTTCAAATATTGCCTTTGACAGTGAGGGGCCTCAGAGACAAAAAGGATGAGAACCACTGATGCAGGGCTTTCTGAATGCATTCTTCAACACAATGCTCATAAATTCTCATAATTTCATGTTAATTTAATAATTCAAGCACTTTTTCTTATAGGGTTTCACTGTTTACATTAATGACTCAAAAACAGATAAAAAAAAAAAGCAACACAAAATGTGGGTATTACCAAAGCAGTCATCTAGAGTGATCTTTGCCAAGCACAGTCAGACAGGCCTTATCTGTGGTGCATGGGGAACGAAGGAATGAAGCCAGAAATAGCCCAAGCCCTTTAACCATGAATTGAGGCTTGTATCATTTATTCCAGCTGTAATCAGAGCACGGATTGCTGTCAGTGCAAACTGCTCATAATTAGGAGAATTCTCTGTTGTTCTGCTGTTTTCTGGGAGGCCCCGTGGTGCTGAGTGTCTGTCTGTGGGCTGATGTCAAACAGCCAATTTACTGAACCATTAAGATATCGGCACCTTTTGCTTTTCCCTCGTAACCTGTTGCCATGCCTGCTTCTCATATATTATCTCTCCTTCTCTTCTGTTCTATGTTCCCTCTATTTTTTTTTCTCCCTCTCTCCTTCTGTGCTTCCCTCCCCGCTATTCCTGTGGCGAACAGGTGCAAAAATTATCTCTCATTCACAAAGGGCGAAAATACTTTGCGTATGGTGTCTTTGTCACATGTCAGAAAGGGGGCCAAAGCAGGGGCCATGCATTTGCAGTTGTCAAATGAAGAGAAAGGGAGGAACTGCCAGATTGGACAACCTGTCACTTTTCTCCTTTCTCTGCTTTCTGATTTTCCAACCTAAATATACAGTGCACAGCATAAATGAGTACACCCCCTCTAAAACTTAACAAATTCAGCAATTGCTCTTTACTTAGAAGACATGTTAGGGTTCTTTGGAGATGTAATGTTCCAACAAGCCTGCTTGATCAATTACCAAAGAAGAATGCCAAAATTATTCAGCAAAATAAGATCTTCTTATCCAAGTGATAAAATGTTGTTGCAAAAATGAGTACACCCTCCTGAAAGTTACTAAAAAAAAAAAATAAAAATAAAAATGTATAGGTTTAAGGCTATTTTTGATCAACAGGTAAGTATATTGAACCAAAACTTTTAAAGACAAGTAATTTCCTGACAATTAAAAGTGTTATATAGCCCACTGAATCATACTCCGACTTAATGCTGGCAGCAGTGGAACCACTTGAGAGAGGTGAGTGAGAAGTGCTTGGTACCCACAGTGACGTTCAGTGGTAGTAAAGCTCTTCTATAGGGATGTATGAGTGCTGAAGGTGTGAGGGAGTTGTATTTTATCAACGCTGGCATGAATTCACACACCACTGTGTGATGTAATACAAAAACTTAAAACAGAAGATGCTACCCTCTTCTCATTCCCTGCATTATTGGGCATTTTTTTCAGCATGACAGTGAAGATATTCATTCTCCTGAGTTGAAAATCCTTCAGTGGACATGCATTTCACTCAATCTTAACACTGTTGAGCATAAGTTCTGGAGGACATACTAAGTACTAGAATATTATACATTTTCTGAATTAAATCTAGGGTGTACTCATTTCTGCAATCCTTCGTTTAAACAAAAATGGCTAATTTACTTATCTTACAGAAAATACTGGCATATATTTTGTTTTTTTTATTAAGTATATGTTTACTATGTTTCAATTTTGCCATCTTTCCATGAATTATATTAGTGATCATTAAGAAAATACATCTTTTATATTTATTCAGAGGGGGTGTACTCATTTATGCTGTGCACTGTATATTGTGGTATTATAGGTTTAGGGGATTTACAAAATGAATAAACTTATCCCACAATATCTGTGCGAACATGAGTAATGCCAAATCATGTGACTTGTGGATGAGGGGTGCTTTATTACTTCTAAAAAATCAGATGTATGATTTTAACTGACTGAATGATAAAACAGAAAAAAATCCCATAGATTGAAATCAAATAAAAAACTCAAGCCATTTCTAAGCACCAGAATATTATAGAGACTTGGGAGATTGGCTCTTCTGATTTCAAGTCCTCATGGGAAGTTCATATTTATGAGTTAAGAAATCAAATTTTTATGTAATCAAGTGCATTCAGATCACTTTGGTTGGAGTAAAATGGTGAGGTATATTAGGCTACTGTATCTTTTCGTTTTTTACACTGCACACATATGCAAAAACATTGGATCCTTAAAATAGTGACTTGTGAGTGTACAACTGCACTAATTAATAAGGCCAAACCTGGTACCATTGATTTTTTTTATTTATATTTATTTTGATTCTTTGATTCTTTTTTTTAATTTAATTTCTTTTTTATTTTATTATTAGTATTATTATTTTCTTTCTTGTCAGATTGTTAAATAATTGGTAATATCCCTGTTATTCCTCCTTCCTTTATTTTTTTGTTCTAATAATGTTATTTTGTTTATATGTGAAAGACAATAAAAAGTTCACAAAAAAAGAAATACAGTAAGATTTCTACAAAATGATGAATAAAGAATGCACATTATGTGTGTTTTGCTAATTAAATTAATGATATTAGTATATATTCTACCATATTGTAAAAAAGGTATGATTAATTATGCAGTACTGTTGTATTTTGTGCATCTAGTTTTATTGTAAATAAAAAAACTAATTTTATGAATTTCAATGAATTTACCGTCATTGTAGATGCTGCATCCATTGTGTCCGTCATGTTTTCTCACCAACTTGGAAACTCAGGGCTCAAAGAAAATCTTGAGGTTCGCATTTGATTTTGTGGTTGCATTCATGTGCATTCAACTCGTATATATGATATTTCTGACATGACTTGAATCCACTATAAGCAAACCACCTAGCAACCACATACAAATATTAGGGATGCACCGATACCACTTTTTCCAGTACTCGCCCGATACTACAGGAGACCAGTATCGGGCCCGATACCGATACCAGTATCGGTATCGGTGCATCCCTAACAAATATGATAAATACCACTCAGAACACCTTAACGACCATGTAGCAACACCATGGCAACCACCCAATAACAATTTTCTTCTAAATATGTAAGATTCTAGTATGATATGAGTTGCATTCTAGAACACTGATGTCATGGTCAAAATGTAGCTTGGTAGACATCGGGAGAAAATGAATTTGAAAGGGACGAAAAAAATTCAAATTCAGAGCTGATCATCTCAGGTTTGAAGGTCATTTCAGAGGTAGACTTATATTATATAAGATTTAGGTTCAGAAGAGGGGGACAAAAAAAAAAAGAAAACCACATCTTCCGATGTGACCGGGTGGTCTAAACAGTCTTGTATCACATGTCTACAGTAGAACTAAAAGGGTAATTCTCTGTCTCGCTTAATTTAACACTCAGGAGGGGACTGTACCACTCTGACATCAGTGCCCCACTGTGACATTTCTTGCTCTGCATTTAATGACAGGGCATGGAGGAAGAGCGAGAGGGACAGAAAGAACGACAGACAGAAAGACATTGTGGTACAAACAGTCCAAATCAATCCCCCTGGCCCCTGCCTGCACTAAAGCTTTGTTCTCTTGACAGGGACAGACAGTAGAAAAAAACTTGTGTAGTATTCACTGTGAAACAATTTTCACTTAAATTGCTTGTACATTTCACAAATAATGACAAAGAAACGGCAAGTGACACATCGAATTAAAGACTGAAATAGCATTTTCTTGTCAAATGTACTCCGATACCTAATCTTTTTATTTACAACTTTGAAAAATAATTTTTACAGTGCTGGAAATAAAGTATTTTTTATTATTTAAAAAATGTAAACAAAACTTGAATGAAATTAAGAGATAGTTGTAAAATGGACAAGAAATATTTAAAGGGGTCATATGATGCTATTTTAAAGATCATTATTTTGTGTATTTGGTGTAACAGAATATGTTGACATGCTTTAATGTCCAAAAAATACATTATTTTTCAAATACTGTACATTATTGTAGTTCCTCTATGCCCCGCCTCTCTCAAACGCTTTGTTTTCTGAGACTTTAGTCTTTGCAACTTTACAGATCTTCTTTATGCACCAAGAGCTTGTAACACTCCAAAGAGAAAGGAAAACTTGAAACCGCATCATATGACCCCTTTAAGATTTCTAAGTCACTAATCAAATCAAAATTGTGACAATAATCATGTGCTGTTGTAAAAAAAGAAAATGAAAGATTATTGTTTTACGAATTTCAACAACAATTTCAGTATTTCTGCTTCAAAATTTCACATATATTTTAATGTGTTACTTGTCATTTTTTGTAATTGTTTATGAAATTTACTAACAATTTCCTGGAGAAAATAATTTCTACACTTTTTTTTTTCAGTGTGTACACTTCTTTTCTTCCATTGAAGCACAAGACACTCTTTGGTGTATTCTTAAGTTCAAATTCATAATTTCTTTTACTTTTCATTCAAATTATATTAAACTAGAAAATTATATTATTTATTTATAGTATAATTATAAATATAATTAAATAAAAAATATATATAAAATTACATTTTAAAGGATAATTGTAACATATATTATTGTTAAATTATTATTTATTTAAATTAATTTATTTAAATATTAAATATCGCACAATAGAAGCATTATTACTAGTGTAAGACCCCTCTGTGTAATATTGGATTTGAGCGGCTTTACCTCAATACCCATTTGCAAGGTGCCTACAATTCAGAGACTCCACTGCATTCATGTTCTTAAGAGATTGACCAAAACTCCTCATTGTGAATTGGCCATTCAACACACACACAGGGCATTAAACTCTGTAGTGCCGCTTACTGTGAAGCTCAAAACGATGGATCCTAGGGCACTGCACCTCTCTCACAGGTTGAATGCACAGGAGACCTTATTACTTTAAGTCTCTTCTCTTTACACGCTGTTTGGCTGACATGGCACTGAGCAGAGTGTGGATTGGTATAGTCACCGCAGCGTTCAGCTGCCCAATTATGCCAATAGCTGGGATATGAAATAGAATATGATAATGCCCTGGAAAGTTGCTAACTCGCCTGTTTTGAACTTATTAGCTGCGGCGTGGAGTGCTGTTCAGTAATTTATCGCCTCTTGGAGTAATAAATGGGGAAACTGAGCTCTGTTTCTCTTATTGATTCACAGTGAGTGTTGACTTGCAGGTCTAGAAGAGTGTTCTTGTTCTCAGCACTTATTTGCCAGCCCTTTCCTGCTTCTGAGAGTGTTGACCAAATCTGTTCTGCATGCACAATTATATTTATACAGCATAAGCTTTTAAAACAAAGCGCAAACTAGCTTGAATACAAAGAATGGAAGTGCAAACACCCATATTAGTGTATAAAAGATGAGCAAGGCCATTTTTCATGGTGTCAACAGCATTAGCTTTTGCACAGTCATTGTGTTGTTGTGTGGGGGAGAGAGTTTGGTGTTGTTTTTGGATAGAGGAGGGAATGTAAGGTGGAATATGGTCTGAAGGCCAGGCTCTTGAGGGTGGGCACATGTCTTGTCCTTTCTATAATTGACTCTGGAGCTACGTGTTTAGGTTTACAAAACTCAGCCATTGATTCACACAGGGCTGCAGGCTGTTTCACAGTGCGGTTATTGCTTGGATTGCACCTCTGTGTAAGTGCTCACGTAAGGTGAGGGGAAGTGACATCATTGGTGATAAACAGTGTATTGATAGCAATCAGGCACCTACGATATTGCTGATTTTGGTGGAAGAAGGAAGAAAGGGATTGGACAGGTAAAACAAAGGGGCATATCAATCAAACTTTTATTGATGCAAACTTTTAAATTATATGGCAAATTTTGTGCAAATGTTATCTCGTGCCTCGATCCCAATTGGAGGCAGTAGAGATTTGCAGGTAAATTGGTGTAATGAAATGGCATAGATTTCCAATACCACAGACTTAAGAACAAGATACCTCAGTTCAGACCTTTCGCTTTATCAATATTGTGATATTTCTATGCTCTGCTTGACAAAAAAACACGGTCTGTAATCCAATACATTTCTCTTGTAGATGAATAAATTGCAAGTGCGCTCATATTTATAATGTCTGGGCTGTATTTACTTTCATTTTTTAAATCTTATTCTTATTCTTATTCTTATTTGAATAAAGGTGACCTTAAAATGATCCAAATTGACCTGCAACTAGTGTCAAAAATATACTTCTTCATTTAGGACCAATATTTGCCACTGGATTTCAGTTTTTTTTTTTTTTAACCTTTATGAGGGCAGTTTTTATGCCCCCCTCCCCCTATAATTATCTGGTCAATGTTTAGTGTCATGGTAGGTTTTTATGTTATCACTGTTTTAAGTTTCAGCACTTTTGAGACTGTTGGGATTTGTTCTCTACTGATTCAGTATTTGCATATCTAGTTTTAGTTTCTGACCCCATCTGTGACCCATCAGTTGAGACTCACCTTTGAACACTGTATTAAAATTCCACACAGAATAGATGAAAAGTCAAAGGTAGGATTAACAGAAATTCCCTGTGGTTTTAGAATGTGATCTCAAGAGCTTGGTGTAATTAATTTATGATAACAATTTAGCTAAGGAACACTACTTAACCTCTTGATTTTTTACTTTTTGTCCTCCAGGATGGCCTCCTGGGTGAAGGTCAGTGGATCAGGTGGATGTTTGGCACAACCCGACCAATGATTTGCCACTGGATTTCAGTTTTTTTTTTTTTTAACCTTTATGAGGGCAGTTTTTATGCCCCCCTCCCCCTATAATTATCTGGTCAATGTTTAGTGTCATGGTAGGTTTTTATGTTATCACTGTTTTAAGTTTCAGCACTTTTGAGACTGTTGGGATTTGTTCTCTACTGATTCAGTATTTGCATATCTAGTTTTAGTTTCTGACCCCATCTGTGACCCATCAGTTGAGACTCACCTTTGAACACTGTATTAAAATTCCACACAGAATAGATGAAAAGTCAAAGGTAGGATTAACAGAAATTCCCTGTGGTTTTAGAATGTGATCTCAAGAGCTTGGTGTAATTAATTTATGATAACAATTTAGCTAAGGAACACTACTTAACCTCTTGATTTTTTACTTTTTGTCCTCCAGGATGGCCTCCTGGGTGAAGGTCAGTGGATCAGGTGGATGTTTGGCACAACCCGACCAATGAAGCAGGAGATTTTGAGCAGGTTAGCAACCATTAACACATTTAAATTTGATCTGAGATGTCTGAAGTCAGCATGTTCTGTTTTTTTTAAAAATAATTTTGCATTCTTGCTACATTTGCCATATAAATGTTAACTGTACTGTGTAACTTAAGAGTACAACCAAAGTGAAAATGTAAGGACTTTGTGGATTTGTACAGCATACTAAAGGTTTTAATGACGATCTAAAAAGGCAAAAAGGTTAGGTTTAGGGGTAGGGGTTGGAAAATATCATTAGCTAAGTATAAAAATGTTGTGTTTGTTTGTGTGTGTGTGTGTGTATAAAGTGCTTCTTCACACTCCAGTTGACACTGCCTTGTGTGGCTGTGTTGATATGTGGATTCAGCAGGTGTGTGAATCACAACCCCATATTAAATCTAAATTTACCTTTCATTTCCAAGATGATGAATGGAAGATTGAGTGTTTATTTATTTATGCAGCTTTATATGGCGATTCAGGCTGCCTCACATACAGCTTGTTAGTGCATTTGTATTCATAGGAACATAACTTTCGCCTTAGAACGTGTATATATCACTTCCAAACCAAGTTTTTTCATCTGCTCACAGTATCACAAATCAGTAAATCTGCCTATATGGGCCAGTATTTCAAAAGGCTTTTATTAAAACAACCCAGCTGTGCCGTTATAGTAATATATTAAGATCCAGGCCACATCGATCCTGTCTTCGTATTCCGGCTTGTTCTACAGAATCCAACTTGGCAAATCATTAAACTTTTAGTGTCTACTTATATTCAGCTGAATAATTTATCAGGCGGTGGGGCGAGTGATTCAGAAAACACTTGATTGTCTGCATGCTGGGGGTCTGGGGAGGTATTGAACCAGGAAAGATGATTTTGAGAATGTATTGGATGGAGCGGTGGCGGTGACGATGTTAATGACTGGAGAACTCTGTGCAGAATTGTGATAAAGTAGACAGGAATTTAAATTCTTTGAAGATGGATATGTATATGTATACACACACTATACATTTATATATCGAAAATATTAAAACTCTAATATTGTGAAATCTTATTACACTTTAAAATAACCAGCAGCCATTACTCCAGTCTATACGTTTCTTATTATTATCAATGTTGAAAACAGTTGTGGTGCTTATGTTAGTGGAAACAGTGATAAATTCTTTTAGGATCCTTTGATGAATAAAGGTTCAAAAGAACAGCATTTAGTTGAAGTAGAAATCTTTAGCATCAATGTAAAAGTCTTTAACTGTCACTTTAACTGTCAAAAAAAAAAAGAAAAAAAGAATGTACTTATGGTAAAGAAATATCTTAATGCGTGCTTTTTCCTTGTTACTATCACCAACCTTGACATGCTTTGAACCAGTGAACTGGCCAATTATTAATTTGAAAACCCCAAACCCCCAAATCAACCAAATTGTAGTTTGAATGCTATGTTAAAGTTGGGTCGGCTGAATCGTGTATGCTTTTGAACTTCAAGTGCTACATTTTATGCTTATTAGTTCCTACTATTATTTTAAATTTCCATTTTTAACTTTAACAAAACAAGCACATTCAGTTCAGCTCATCAGAACCTCCCTAAATCCCTATAGGTCCAATTAGCTTGGCTGTCCAGAGTGAAAAAGCATCGTTTCAGTGACAACATGCCATCACAAAAAAATCATTTTGAATAAATCGCTTTGAATATTTAGAGGTTTAATGCAGAAGTTGAAAGAGGTGTGACGCCATCAGTGGTAATCAGCAGCATCCATTATGGCTGTAGTGAGAATGAGAGAGAAATTTAGCCTCACCTCCTCCTTTCTGCCGTCTCCTCCCTCCATCCTGCCCGCTCATTTGATTGTTTTTACATTCCCGCATTATGTAAATATGTGCATTGTGATTCTTTGGGGAGCATCTGAGCATTAGCGAGGACAATCTGGGCCTTTGCTAGAAATGCTAGATAACATATGTCCACTTGTCATGCAAACACAAACACAAAAACAAATGGACATTAATACACTCACGACCAGGCCCCATGTGAATTCGCACACCATTTGCGTGCACCCCCAGGTGTCATTTACAAATGCTGAACTTACGGCTGTGAATAGACATTATTAATGGAGCCCAAAGTGGAGATACAAGGAGCTGCTTAGCCCTGAACCCTTAGCGAATATGAATAACAATAGGTGAGGGATCATTACATCGGCCTGGAGGGAACATTAATCAGGTTTTGCGTAATGAAGGCAGTTGCCGCAAATCGGGCATGCATAATGTTCTGCTGATGTGTGCTCCGCATTGCATTAGCATCACTGCCACTGCCATGTTAGCAAAGGTGTAACTGAGTCAATGAAATCGGAAGTCCAAAAGAACACACTTTAACAGTGTTTTCAGGGATTTTTTTTATTGAAATGCTTTTAAAATTCACAGGCATGAAACTACATTGATTCATCCATATTATGCTAATATCAGTCAAGATACCACAAATTCTTTTTTTTTATATCTAATAGCTTTTAGTTTGTCAAAACCACCCCGGACAAGTACTGTGGATGAAAGCCATGAAGTCACTTTCGAAATGAATTAATTCTAGCCACTTCCTTTGCAGCAAATTGATGGCCTGGAAAAAGAAAATATATTATGAGCATTAGTGCTACCGAAGGCACACTGAACCATGATTTGCTACTTACTATTGCTTGTCAGAGGCAGGTAGGTGGTTATTATGGTTCAGGGGAAGGGACATTATTGTTCTAGAGTCGTGGTTTTCCACCCGGGGCCCTGGGCCCACTAAGTGGCCTCAGCAAACTTCCAAGTGGGCCTCAAGGTGACTAAAAAGTATTTAATAAATGTGTTATCAGTGTTATTTTAGTAACATTGAGATCTATTATAGTTTTTATTAATATTTTTAATTTGTTTTATTTTTATATTTTCTATCTTTATTTTAATTTTCAAGTTTTAGTCATTTTATTGCATGTTTTTGTTATTTTTATTCATTTTTGTAAAATATAAAATGTTTACTTTTTATTAATTTTTATACATCAAGTTATTTCAATACATCAAGTTATACTAAATGAAAATAAGAAATGTTGCCTTGGCAGCTAGTTGAAATAAAATGAGTTTTGTATATTTCAATTAAAGGTTATTTATTTCAAGTAACAGAAGTGTTTAGTTAATAACCTTGAAAATCAAGAGTGATTTTTTTTTTAAACAATCTAACTTTAATCTAAATTAAAATGTTAAAAAAGATAATCAAAATATAAATTATTCATATATTAGTTATACAAATGAAATTTATTTAAATTATTGAAATTTAATTATGATTTTATAAGATAAAAGTGAAGAATGTTGAGTTCTTGAAACTTTTAAAATCACAGAGTGAACAATGGTTAATTAAATATATCAATACTCCCAGTTTCTGTTAATAAAAAAAACATTCATAATTATGGCAGAAATACCAAATGTAGCATATATCGGGGAGTCTTCGATCATTGTGTTGGACAAATGGGGGCCCTTTGTGTCAAAAAAGATTGAGAAAGTTTTATTGGATAAAACGGTGTACTGTGTGTAATATTTTTGATCTGTTGTTTTGGAAAAATGTGTATATCTGCTAAAAATGAATGTCAACTTTTAAAAGTACAGTAGCATAAATGGCCTCAAAGCATCAACTAAAACTCCCATTCTTTAAAAAAAAATACACTACATTAATCAAAAATCAAAAAATGTTTCAGGACACTGTTGTTCACGTCGTAAGCAAGGGGAAAACTCTGAAGTTGTTTCAGCAGGACACTTTCAAGATGATGGTTGACACAAAATCCTGAAGACATCAAAAGTAAGTTAAAGTTAAAGTTTTTTTCCAAGTTCATGGAATGCTGTTTTGCAAGGAAGATGCTAGACATGAATATATAAATGATGCAGATCAACACAAATCCTTTTTTAATTCTTTGGAGTCAATGTTACAGACAAGTAAAAGCTGAAGCATTTACCCAGCTGTTCGGACTAATGTAGTACAGCGGTGAACAGCGTGTTACTCTCATGTCCGTTTGATGTCGGCACGTCCTTCCTTTGTACAGAGGGAACAACAGCGGGGGCCTCGATCACAGCCAAACCCTGTTTAATCTAAATTAAAACTCACTAATCTTGTTATTATGCTGACCCCTTTGCGAGACACACTTCCACAAGGCCCCTTCATCCCTGTCACCCAAACATTTTCATTCAACCGAGACAAAAGGATATAGTAGGGAATTAAATGACAGTCTGGCAGTCTGAAGTGGGAACATTGATTTCAACAGGCTTGTTTTGATCACGAAGGCTTTTGAGTGATTAGGGGTTTCACTTTTTGTCCCTTTTGATTGTTCGTACCATATTGCATGATAAAACATCTTGGGTTCTCTGCTCAAAACCGAGGGTGAGTTTCACTCTCACTGCCGATTTGAGATCAGGCAGTTTCGGTTTCGGTCATATTGCTCAAGGTTAGGATTCGGGGATGGAATAGGCTGTGCATACGTCAATGGAGCCGTGCGGATGAACGTGTGACCTCCTCCTAATCCTGCGATGTGTCCTGCATAAGACTAGGACAGGCCAGACCCCGTACTGGAGATGGTGAAAGTTTCATTTCCATATGCATGAGATGAGCCGTTGTTATTTTAATGAAGGGCATCCTCCCTCGAGCAAATAAAAAAGACTGAACTGATGCTAGACATGCCTCTGTGATCAGCTTTAATGGTCTATCTTTGTAAAGAGATGTGGCAGAAAGAAACACATTAGGGTGATGCCTGTGTGTGTGTCTCAGGAAGTCTCATTTGAATCATTGCTGTGATGATCTTAGACAAACGAAAAGTGAAAAACAAAATAGAAAACTCCCACATTCATAATGTTTCTGCAAATGTCCTTTTAAATGCGTTTTTTTGTTTTTATTTCTTCTGCTGTCTTTTGAGGAATGAACCTGGAGCATTTGTCACAAACATCCCCTGCTCACAGGCATCCAATTCTTTTGCTATATGTTTATATAGCTATATAGTTACCTTTGATCATGTGAAATACAATTTTTTATTATTATTAAATTTGTTAGAAGGTTGTTGGGTAGGTCAGATAATATAATATAATATAATATAATAATCTATCTATCTATCTATCTATCTATCTCTCTCTCTCTCTCTCTCTCTCTCTCTCTCTCTATATATATATATATTATGTGTCAATATAAATCTGAACTTTTATTTTTTAATGCCTAAATAATATAGTCACATAATCTATCTATCTATCTATCTATCTATCTATATATATTATGTGACTATATTATTTAGGCATTACAAAATAAAAGTTCAGATTTATATTAAGTAAAAATAAATTACAAGCTGTTAATTAGCTTGTATCATAGCAGTTTACAATATATTTAATAGAGTGGCAGTCCTCAAGGGTTTTTATAATTTAACATTTCATACTTTACCCAAACCAAATCCTCATAGAAACCTGTTAACTTTATCAGATTTAAAGAAAATGTGATTTGGCCGATTTATGAGCATTTTAAATGGTGAGGACTGCTTTAAATGTCCTTCTGGCTCTCAAAAACACACAAATCACAATAATCTATATCATTAAAAGTTCTATTCATTAAACAAATATTTTCATAAAGAATATGCATCTAATTGTGTCTCATTAATGATTAATGTATTCTGAGGTTAATGGAAAACTTGAGTTAAGTTATGATATGATGTGCATGTGATGTTCTTTACAATATGCTTTGGTGTCAGTTCAGAGTGACTACTTTATAGCAGTGGCCATGTTCATAACACTGGATAAAGCTCTACACTGTATAGATGCCTATAGTCATGAAGAGACGTCTACTCAGTCACTTAACACATAAATACTAGTGTAATTGATTCTACAAGTTCCTGCTGGGTTTCTGAGCTCTTAGGAGAGTTTCTCCTCAGTAATCATTTTTCTCAAAGTCAAGAGTGAAAAGATGGGATGTCGTCTCCTTTTGTATTTGTATTATAATAACCTACCTAATGATTATGCGGCAGCAAAAGTGATATGAATCATAAGTAATGAAAGAACAGGGACCTTGTAAAGATGAGAAATGCATGAAATTAAATTATTATTCAAACAAAACTGAAGAAGAAGTAGAAGAGTGTCATCCAAAAGCCTATAAGATGGAGAAAAAAATTATAGACAAACCTCTTAGACGTCCTCTATTTAAATTGGTTTTGAATTATGTTTATGCTAATTTTGTTGTACATCCATATTAGTAAAACTTTGTCTACAAAGGTCTATGTCTGAAAGTTGTTGGTTTCTATTGTAAATCTGAGTGAATTTTGTCAGCAAAAGGTCATATTGAGTTGTAGTTGCTGATGACTCTCTTAACCTGTTCAAAGACGGAAAGATGGAAACTATTGATTATTTAATTTAGCTCTCAAAATAACATTCTCTATCTGTCCGGAAACATTTTAGATAAAGGTCGCTATTTTATAAATAGGACAAACTGAAATAGACTTTCAATTTTACCGTTTTTTTTTTTTTTTTTTTAACTCAAAGTACTAGACTCATTTGGGAAGAAGAATATAAGGTCATACGCCTACCTGAGTATAGTATGAGAGTCTAATTTGTCATGTATGTGTGTGTGTGTGCATGTTTGTTTGGATTCTTGAGTTACCTAATATTAATGAAATGATAGTGAAATCAGCTACTGAACATTGTGGGGACCAAACAATGGAAAATGGATCATCAAGCATTCTAAACAATATCTTAATAACATTTTTAAAATGCAAAAAGGTTTCTTTGAGTGTGACATTTAGGGGTAAGTGATGTCAAATTTCATTAACTCATTATAAAAACAATAGAAGTCAATAGAAAGCCCCCACCATGATAGAAAACCAAACGTGTGTGTGTGTGCGTTTATGAGAAGCAGTGAAAAAATTACTGCCACCTTTGACTTGCTCCTCATCCAGCCTCAGATCACTCACTGTCAAGATTTTCAAATTCAAGCCATCTATAGATATTTCAGAAACTCATTTGGAGGTGATTTTCTCTCTCTCCACACCCGCTGGCTCTGGCTCCAGTCATATACACCTCTCTCCCATAGGCGGCCGTAAGCCCGATCCTGAGCTGTACTATTTGATTTAATTTGAAGGGCCATCTGTAATCCCCCGCGGTACCCACTGAATCCCTGGGCCCGTCTGCTCTGCTGTTCTGCGAGTGTTTGCCTGTTATTGTGCTTGCTGCAGTGCAGGGCTCCTTTGTCATTTAGATCTCACACTGTTGAAAAGCCAGCAGCTCTCAGAGCAAGTTTGAAAGAGTTTTCAGCTGCTGTTTATCTGCAGAACTCATTCAAATATGACTCATGTGGGAGTATTTCTCTGTCATGTCATGAATAATTAATTATACCGCACAACTACATATAGTGCACATGCAAGTGTATAAATCACCAGTTTAATTAGGAAATAGAATCATTATTATTTTCAATCATATTTGGATATTTTGAGTTTTAGTACAGTAATGATTCTATTTTTTTTATGTTTTTATATTTGACACTAATTGGTGACCCCACATGGTACCAAAAATGTTTTAGCATACAAAAGTAACAAATATCTAATATTGAAATTTATTTAAATTATCATAATTGCATATGCCCAACAATATGCATAATTGTTAATGTATTATTGATAGGCTTATCAACTTTTATAGAGAAAATGCAACTTGTTTGAATGTTTGGAAATAAATGAATACTTTAATGATGCATTAAATGGATCGAAAAGTGACAGTAAGACATTTATAATGTCACAAAAGATTTTATATATAAGAATTATTTTATTTCTATTTTTTTTTATTCATCAAAAATCCTGAAAAAAAAAGTATCACGGCTTCTAAGAAATGTTTCTTGAGCAAAGCAGATTTCTGAAGGATCATGTGACACTGAAGACTGGAGTAATGACTGCTGAAAATTCAGCTTTGCATCACAGGAATATATTACATTTCAAAATTTAACATTTTCATAGTACTTCAAAATATTACAGTTTTTACTTTTTTTTAATTAAATAAATGTAGCCTTGTTATATCAAAAACATAAAATCCTACTGACCCCAAACTTTTGAACGGTGTATATGGTCAGATGCATTTTAGTATTTGCATTTAGCATTGTTTTTTCCCTGCTGCCCATGACTGTCAGAAGAACGTACAACTCACTGGTTGAGAACCACTATTTAAATTAAATATTAACTTGTTTTATGATGTTTTATTACATCACTGTGTCTATGGGCTAGTTGCATATCTCCGCCATCTTGGATTTCCGGTCTAGCGAGTGTGTGCATAGATACTTCCGGTTGTGATAAAAACGCCAGTGCAGAGAACCGGAGAAATCCAAATATTGCCTTCTGTATATGTTTACAGGATTTATAATATCACTTCAAATGCAAATAAGATCTACACTGCTATTATTACTATACTATAGATGTTAACTGAGCCAGTGCATTTGAAACTTACTTATGTTTGGGTTATGTTTGGGTCCGGTGAATGAATGAAATAGCCTACACTAACGTTAAGACTTGAACTCATGGTGTGTACACAATAGCTACACAATCTCTTTTTCCGTTACTAATTATGTAAATGTACAAATTACTTATTTCTCGAAAATGTTTGTATTACATTGATTTAAAAAAAAAAAAAAAAATTTACCTTGTGAGACATGGGCTGCGATTGATAAATATACATTTCTCAATTTTGCACATACATCAGTTTGTTCCATCATCATTTTCACAACTTATTTTTATATTTTTTTACACATAACTTAACTTTACT